CGCGGCTAGTCGGCTCGCCTGGGCGCAGCGAGGATGGGAGGGTCGCAGTCCCTGCAGCCAGTCCCCGCCAGCGACCTGAGCCTGGAGGCTTCCGAGGCAATGTAAGTGCGTCGCCGGGCGGCCCGGAGCCCCCGGGAGGAGGAGAGGCTGCCGGGCTTTGTTAGTGTCGCCTCTCGCGATCCCGGTGCAGCGGGGCTCGGGGCTGGCCTGGGGCTGTCCGCAGCCTTCCTTGTACGGCTTACCTGGTGGCGGCTGCTCCTAGCATGCAGGGCCCCTCCGGAATGAACATCTGGAGCCATGGGAGAACACTGTCCAGGGCAGAAATGACCCCTGCGAAGAATTCGGTGTCGGTGGTTCGGCAGCCTGGCGCATGGCCGTGTCCACCTGCCCTCAGCGTCTTAACTCTGCATCCCCTCGCACAGTGGTGTTTCCTGCAAGGGCCCGGCATCAACAGCGGCCTCTCGAGAAGAACCCTAGTGTGGCAGCTTGGCGCCCATGGAGACAGCAGTTTGGGGGCAGCGCCTGGCATGCCCTGGCAGATGGCGTGGAGCGTCGCTGGTGGACGTTGGTCTGGCAGCGTGAGCCGCCATATACCCCTGCTGAGCCCCAGCCAACAGGGCCTCTGGCTATTAGTAGAACCAGCTGAACCCGCTGGTCGGCGGTCCGTTGGTGACACAGGATGGGACTAAGTATTGATCCAGGAATTGGATCTTTTCACTAAGCCACGGAGCCAGTGCGCTCCTGAAGTGGCCTTTATCCCGAATGGGTGTTCATTGGAATTGCCGTTTTGAGATGGTCAGATGGTCGTGTCCATTACCTCCCCAGGCTTGTTGGGGCTGGGGGGGGGAATGGGGCTTACTGACTAGATCTGGCCGCCGGGTCGTATTCCGGTAAGTTGGGCTCGTGTCCAGAGCGGGCGCCCACATCCCAGCCTCACCGGCTCTCCTTTCCCAAAGAGCAGACTGTTTCCAAGAAGAGTATTTTCCGGGGATTTGGGGTGGGGGCGGTAATGTGGTGGGTTCATGAGTCACTGGTGTGTAGACTACACACTCTCAGGATTGGTGTGTGTGTTGTAGTAGGGTTGGGGTGCGTGGGGGCTTCCTCCCTCGTCCCACTGGGCTTCCGTGAGGAGCTGGCTGAGGCGCTCGCTCCTGTAATTTGAGGCTGAGCCTGGGGCTGTCCGGCCTCCTGCTCCGTATCAGCAAACCACACTTGGGAGCAGGTGTGCGGATCCCTCGTTTGTCTTCACCCCAGAGGGCGAGAAAGCACCATCTTACAATGGAGACGCGGCGTGTTTGAGGATTTTTTCTGTGGTGACGTGAGCCTCACACCCCGCCTGCTCTGTTTTTGTTCACGGGTAGTAGTATTGTTCGGTGTGTGGAAGCATGTACTCCATGAAGAATGCAAGCCCAAGCAGAAAAGGACCGTTTTAAGCCATCTTGTAAGTCTCTGAGCTGGAAGTCAGTTCATCAGAGCTTGGCACTGGCGGGCTAGGAGCCTGCCTCGAGCCGTCAGTGGGCCGATTGTGGGAGACTTTCTCGGCCCCCACCCTCTTGCCCGGTTGTGATGGGCCAGTGTTCTGTTGGCTGCCAGCTGCTTCCCAGAGGCCAGGGTTCGGCCCTGTGCAGTTCTCATGCTGAAATACAACTTCAGGCTGAGGGGTCACGTTGTGATGCAAGCGGCTTCTCCTGCATGGCAACATCGAGTAGGCCCGCACCCCTGCAGTAGCTCTGCATCGAGGTTCAGCCACAAAGCCCCTCGTTCCATCCCCAACATTCTCACTTTCAAAAAAGGAGACACAGCGGTGTGGGGCAGGACCCCTTCCCAGGGGCTCTTCCCCAAGTCTCACTTCTGCTTCGGGATTATTGGGGCTGGATAGTCTGTGCCAGGTTTGTTCATTTCCAGTCTAGATGGCTTGGAAAGTTATATTAAGAGAACCTCTTTTCTGTGCAGGCACATGCCTTGGTGAGTCTGTGTATTTCCATGCACCTAGGAACACACGCGCCGGAATGCTGTGCATGGTTCATGGCAGAAAACGGCTGGGAAGAGGGCGCTGTCAGGGCTGCAAGGCTGGAGTGAAGTTGGGGTGCACATGTGCGCTGGGGTACAGCCCACTGGAGTCAAAGGTGGGCATGGCTGCCTTTCCGCAGTGGCTTAGGGAGGGCCCGGGGAAGAGGGAACCCCCATTTGGAAGTGTCTGCAGGAAATTTTTTAGTTTTAGGATTTCTGTCCTTCAGAATTCAAGTTTGGGGTCCCTGTGGGAGGCTTTTGTAGCCACAGCTGCTAGCTTCGGCCTGTACAGGAGTCTACTGAGAAAAGGAGGCAGGGAGGTGGGGGTCCTGTATCCCCCTATGTGGGCTCAAAGTCTAGCAGCTGGAGGATCTGGACGGCCTGGGGAACTAGGGACCTGGGGCAGAGGCGGTGTGGACAGGACCCTTCTAACTCTCCCGCTCCTTTTTCAGCAGCTTCCCCTCAGGGCTTGTTAGAAATGCAAGCTCTCAGGCCCCGCACTCACTGACTGGATCTGAAGCTCCATTTAAGCCGGTGATTTGTAGGCAGAAAGGTATGAGAAGCCTTGAGCTGGTCAGGCTTCTCTGGCCCCATAAGGAACCACTTCTCCAGTTTGGAGAAAAGTCCTGAGAGCAACAGAGACCATTGTTCCAAAACAGGGCAAGGGTGGTGAGGAGAGGGTTCACTTGCAGAAAACACACGCTCGTCTGCAGGGGTGGGTGAGCCGTGCACACAGGAAGAGGCGGCTGGACGTGCTGTGTGCCTATTGATTAGACCTGCTCTTCCTGCCTTCCCAGCATCCTCTGTGGCTCCGCTTCTGCTAAGCCAAGTGACATTAAGTACTTTTCCCTTCGTGTGGTTGGAGACCCCATTGTTTGTCTTCACCCTAGCGGGCGAGATGTGGAGATGGATGAAGCTGCAGGCCCTGTCGGGGAGGTAGGAGAAGCTTGACAAAAATGGCAAATGCAAAGTTGGGGACATTCTAGCCGGTGACAAAGAGAAGGGTCTGAAATTGGCAATGACCAGGAAGCTGGATGGAGAGCACATTTGGAGGGAGCTGCTGCATTTGGGCTGGAGCTTGAGAAGCAGGTGGACACAGAATTGTAGCTGCGAGACCAGGACTAGGGAGAAATCTCAGTACCACCCTCTAGGTGAGTGGTTCTTGGGGGGTGGTACTCTCCCCAAGTCTACCGTCACCGATTGCACCACGGGGTGTGTGGTTCTGCCCATGCTCCCCTGCTCACCTCCAGTTTGGAAGCTGTTGGGGCAGTCTGGGGACTGTTTTACCCCTCTTGCTTTGTAGGGCTTCTCAGGGGGGAAGGTGCCATATCTGCAACCATTCAGATATGTTGTTCTGTGATGTCCCAGTTCCTGTAAACAGATCGCACTTTGATACTATCTCTGGGCCAAATTAGTAGATTTTTTTTTCTCTAAAACTGAATAAGCAGCAGAATTATCTGTAGAGTGACAGTAACCTCCTGGCTGCTGTCTGAGTCAGCTTGTATGGTAGTACCCAGACTGGGGGGCTTAACCAACAGACTGTTGTTTCCCACAGTCTGGAGGCTGAGCAGTCCAAGATCAAGGTGCTGGCAGATGTGGCATTTGGGGAAGGCCCACTTCCTGATCCACAGGTGACCCTCTTCTTGCTATGTCCTCATGGAGGAGAAAGAGAGGAAGAAAGAAAACTTTCTCCTGTCTCCTCTTATAGGTGAGAACCCCAGCTACAGGAAATTAACCCCTCAAAGGTCGCACCTCCTAATATCATCACACTGGGAACTAGAGTTTTAATGTGTAAATTTGGGGTGAGGGCTCAACTGAAACCAAGCCAACCCAGGGGGATGACCTACCCGTACATAAGACTATAGGACAGTCAAAACGCAGGTACAGTGTGAAACAACAATAACAGGACTTATTTTCAGAGGGAGTGAGAAAAAGAGAGAGAATTTACAGGCTGGCACATGGCCACATATAATCTGTCCTGCTCAGATAGATCCGCTGAGCAGAGACCAAGGTCCAAACCGAAACTGCACATGGTAAGAAGGCAGTTTCTGCACAGACACCCCTCCTCACCAGTGGCATATCTGCCAACACCCCAGCTGTTTAGTTGCCAAAGTGCCAGCAATTCAGCTGCGAACGGCAATTTAATCTTTCTGATGCCCCTACAGTTTCACTGGGAAAAAGCCCAACTCCACCTTCTCTCCCACCAGCCTCCCTTTGGGGTGAAGTCTGGAAAACTCCACCTTCTACCACTGAGTTGGCGATGAGCACCACCCACTGGCCTGGAGGTTGCTTCTCACTGTTGCTCTTACACAGCCTCTGAGTCCATAGCAGGTACTTTCCTTCAGCCATCACTCCTGTCACCAGCATGTGGCCAGGTGCCTGTTCCAGAGAGATCCTGGCCCTTCACACCCTTCTCGTTGACTCTGCTGCAGGCTTTGTCTAAGGCAAGCTGAAGGTCAGGTATTCTGAGACTTTCCTGTTGCTACCTCTTGTCCGGTAGGGAACGCCCGCCCTCCCGCTGAGGGCACTGGACAGGGCACTGGTCATGGTAGGTGAACATCTGGGCTGGGGTGTTGACAGCTGCTGCGGGCAAGCCTTCCAGGCAGGTCAGCGGGCCACTCTGTCCCGTGTCCAGGTTTCCTTCCACGATCTGTGGCTCTCCGTCTTGGTTGCCTAGGAACCATTTTCGCGTGAAATATGACTGGCTGTTTGTGCCAGATGGATTGCCTGGGCCGGGGCAGTGTTCTGGGGTAAGCAAAGGATGTTGAACAATTCCGTCCTTTCCCCTTAAGATTAATGGTGAGGACGTAGGCGGCATAAACAGTTGCTCTGTGAAAAGAAGTTGTTCACGGCTGATGCCTTTGTCTTGGGGTGGACAAAAGTCTGGGGGAGACGGGCTGGCCACAGGGAACCACAGGAGCACAGTCCCCGGAGCACTGGGCCCCGCCATGTTGCCACAGCCCTGTCAGCTGTTTCTGTAGTGTCCTATTGGCCATCACCAGGGACGGCCTGGGAGCTGGATGCTGCAGGATCAGAGCTAGGCAGGGTGATCTTCCTCTGAGCCTGCTGCTTAGAGTCGGCAGATTTTTGT